CTGATTTACAGGAGATGCATATACATAAGTATTAATTCTGATCTTAAAATAACTGTCAGTAGTAAGAGGCTGAAGAAGGAGAAGAGAGCTCACTGATTCGTTGCAAAATATATTAAGGAGTACTATTGTCCTCCATGAATGCATAGGTTGTAAATGTTTTCATTATCCAAGTTAAAGTACTTTAAGAACACATTTTACACTTAGTGATTGCAAGTTTATTAATTACAGTATGCTCCAATAATTATGTCCAGAAAGTACCTTAATTACCAACCTACTTGAGCAAATTCCCAGAAAGCTGATTTGAAATCCAAACAAGACATTTAAGGACTTTAAACCTCTCATATAACAAAGTCATTAACACTGGAGGTTATTCTGAAATTAGCATCTCATACATCACATTCCTGTTCTTCAAAACTGGACCATCAAACAGCACTGTAATATTACAGTCTTAATGCTACAAAGGAAAAACTTATTTACATTTGACTGCACAGTTAAATTACCTTTTGATATGCACAAGGAAATTTTAATATGGTGCTAAATAATAGCCAAGATGGTTTTGTCAGAAACAACTCATGCCAAACCAAAGCAATTTATTTCTGTGTCAGAGTAACGTACCTTTGAATGGGAGATATAATATGTTTTGATTTGAAGCAAGGCTGACACTATTTTAAGTTATTTTCTCTTAAATAAGCCAAGAAAACATAGTCTAGATTGAAGTGCCACGAGACAGTCATAAAGAACAGTGTTGGATAACCCTACTTAAAGAGTATTTACATGATTAACTTCAAAACTGAAGATGTATGACACTAGAACGCCTCTGTCTCCCATTGTCTGTCCTAACTTTGAAGTTACTTGACGTTCTCACTTAGGGACCTGAAAATGGCAGAAGAGATGACAAAACTACTAGAATTTGCAGATGACAGTGAACCACCATGGCACACAACACACAACTACAGGCGGACAGGCCTAGAATTCACTAAGCAAAGACACTGCAGTCTGTACAAACTGAAATGTGGTATTAAGGCGTATGTATTATGAATTTCACTCACAAGCAACACCAGGTATCTCTGGTTTGGGGGCATATCTCTGTCTTTAATTAAAAACATTAATACCGTGCCCATATCACTAGTCTGTAATTTTATCCCAACTCAAGGGGACCAAAAAAGGCCACCTCTCAACATTACTGGCTGACCTCTACAATATGCTTAGTGCTCTAATCTAAGTTTCACATGTGATGCTGCTGCGTTAACTGGATGTTACGTAAAAGTATATACATGCCTACACTACAGTTTGTGTGACAACTCCCTGTGACTTCAAAACAAGAACAATAATGATCCTCAGTGACAAAACTCAATAAATTCTCAGTTAAAATAACATTCTTGGCACGTGTGCAATCACACACCACACCTGATTTTCATGAATTCTGTATCAAAGTTTCTGCTTCTATGAACCTGCACAGCAGTTTTTGGCTACAAAAAAGATGTGCTACTTGACTCAGTGACAACTTGGTCTAATGCATGAGACGAGGCCAATAACTAGAACTATAACTTTAATTTAGCTTCCCCCAAGAGAAACCCACAAAAACTAAAGGCAGAAATAAACACTAAAAAAATATGACAAATAATACTAGTTGCGCTATCTTTCCCAGCATCTGCAGAACAGTCGTATGAATGGCCACAACTTAGTGGTTGAGTATTTTATTGGCTCATGCTTTGTGTAAAATTACAGCAACTTTCAGACAGAGGCCTACAAGATGAAAGGAAAATGGAAAATGGATTCTGAACTCTAAAGCAAAGCCAAAATTAGCTTTGCCAGACCTCTTCTGAATACTCAGTCAAGGCAAAAAACATATGTATAAAAGATTCAAAGGGATTGTTGACAGAGATCCTTAACTAAAAAAATGGCTTTAGGAAAACTACTGCAATTACAATTCAATTCCTCATCCATTATTAAAATTCAGCTGTTATCCCTCTAGTATTTTCCTTTGTTTGAATGACACACAAACTGTGAACTTAACTACCGTGAAATATAAATAAGGCCACAATGTGCTACAGAAAACAAAGATGCAAACATCCCTTATAGAAATTGGAATACATAACAGTATTATGTGTGAAAAACATGACAGTGGTTTAGAACATTTAGTGTTTTTACCTGGGGCACACTGTAGTTCCTAGTGTAATTTTCAAGGCGGGGGGGAGGGGGAATCACTTGTTCATAAAAATTTACACAGATGCAGTGGCAATAGTCTTTACAGGAGGAGTTTGTGAAGTGCAAGAGAAATTATACATAGGTACAGTTATTTATCAAGATGTAGGATTAAGTTCCCTCCTCAATATACAGCTATCAAAAAGGCACAATATATGAGGAACTTC